CCCCCTTCCTCCTGCTCGGGGCTTCAAAAGGGCCAGCGGAGGACCAAGGCTCCTTCGCTGGCCCTTTAGAAGCCCCGGGCAGGGGCCTTTCTTGTAGCCGCGGCCAGGGATCTGACCAGATCCCCAGAGAGACCTTCTCCAGCTCATTGTTGTGTCTGAGGCAGGGGGAAAAACCTGACACGCTCTTTGTATCCCATCCTCCCCACCTCCCTCCTTTCCGGCGGTGCATGGAGCAGAAGGGCTTTGTTATAGGGGAGAAGGTGTCCTCTGGCTCCACTGAACCCTGGAGCTGTAGGAGAACCCCTCTTAGCCCCCCACCCCGGATATTGCTACCATCCAGAAAAAGGCATCGGGTCTGTGCTCAGCTCAAGATGCTAAACCTGGCACTCCTTAGAGGTAGCTTTTTTTCCCCTTGCGGTGTCAGTTCATGCCGTGGTAAGGCAGCCTAGTTAAAAGGCAGCTTTTGCTTAATGCTGATGGCTGTTCTGGGGGTGCCTTCCCAAGACTGCGGCAAATCCTTCTGTCGTCTTCTCGACTCTCCCGCTGAGCTGGGATGGAAATTGCAGGGGCGCGAAGAACTGGAAATGGAACGTGCTCCGAAGACGAGTCTCAGGTCCAACCCCAGCCACAGCTCTAGCCCCAGCCGTATCCCCTACCCCTCTGGGCCGGCTCCTATCTCTCCGCGGTTGCTTATTGCAGACAACCCACTCTCGGGAGCGGAGGGCAACAAATTGCTGGGAAAGGCGGCAGCTCCGCCGGGAAAGGCAGGGGAACTCCGAGCCAGCTGAAAAGCTTATAGCTGGGGCCATGTTTACTCTCTCGGCGGAGGCTCAGACACAGGACAGAAGAGAGGAGGCGAAAGTCAGTGCTGACAGGATTTCAGGACTGGGGATGCCCTTGCTGAGCAGCCGCGGGTACGGAGGGGCCGAGCGGGTCCGTGGCAGGTCTAGCAGCAGCCGCCCGTCCCGCAGCCCTCGTTGTAGCCGGTCGAGTAATGGTTGGCAGCTTCTGGAAGCGGGGTGAGGAATGACAAACGAGTGCCAGTAATCACAGCAACAACCGGATGGCAAGCATGAGTTCACATTCATTAACTCTAACCATTTAATTGCTATTAATCTTTCATAATCAGCTAATAAGTGAGCCAGACGTGATTACGTGTTTTGCTCGGTTATAAGCCGAATCAGCATTTACTCTCAGGACATGAAACCCTATATAATTAGGACGCTTTGTAGAGGCAGAAGTTTCTCATCCTTTTATGTCGCTGCACGCAGCTTTCTATTGAAAACATTGAACACAGAAGTTCCGAAGAACAAGATACTTTATTTCTCCGAACATCTTTCCATTTGCATTCACGTTGTGCTTCCTCTTACAGTAAACGCGGTGAAATTTTCTCGTCACGATAGTTTTAAGTGAGACGGACGAAAGAAAGAAGCAACTAAGGCACAGGGTTTCGGAGCTTTCTGAGCTTCGTTACATCAGAGCAAACCACGGTTCAGCCGCAGAGATGCCCGCAGAGGACCTCAGCCCTGCCGAGACCTCTTCTCCAGAGAGACCTCCTCGGTGTCTCAGAAAATTGTGGGTTATGTCTGTTTTTTGACCAACTTCAATTCTATAACGAACCATTTTGTGGAGGGTGTAGAAAACAGCACTGCCTTGCACTGCAGGATATTATGCACACGAATAAAAGTAATGAGCTCATGAGCTAAGGTCGGATCCCAGAGAACATCCGCCCAGTTTACAACTGGCAAGACCCTCGCCCCCGGGGGCTGTGCAAGGCACGGTGCTGCGGCCCCCGCCCGGAGCAGCCAGTCACCTCCCCAGCCCGGGAGGACACTCCCCGTCGAGGTTTCGCCTCGCAGCAGGCAGGGCGACGGGCCGCGCTTGCCGGGCCTCTGCCTGCAGGACAGTCCTTGTCTTTCCCGGGCAGCATTTTCCACTGACAGCCATTACAAGAATCTGCATAAGTTAGATAGCACCACTGCAGAAAGTGACTGCTTTTTCCCTAGGGAAAAAAAAAAAAAAAAAAAGTGGTTTGGGCTTTTTTATTATTATTTTTTTCCTTTGGCCATGCAATTACATCTTTTCCTCAAATACATTTGCAATGATTTAACACTGCTAGAACTCATCTCAAGCTTTTAGCTTAGGCTTTTACTATCTGCTCTCTGTCCTCCACCTGATCTCACCTAGGAAAAACAATCCATTTTTGTTCATCACTTCCTTCGCCAGGATCTCCCAATAGTAACCGTGTGCTTAGGAAGTTGCTTCTGTTGTTAGTGTTTGCTGCAGGAGGGAAAAAAAACCGTCCATGATAAACGGAGAACGGTAACGAAGAGAAAAAACAATCGATTTATACTTCCCCCATGCTTTCCCCATGCCCAATACTTTCCGTTGTTACCTTTCAACTCGCGTGGATTTTAAATACCTAAACAGAACAGAAGAGCTTCCATTTCCCCCTACGCCTTATCAAACAAACAAACAGTTATCATAATGAAAAGGTCTTACTGCAACGCCGCAAAAATTGTTAAACTATTTTTTTCCTCCAGATCTGTGCTACAGCTTCTCAGCTCTTTATTTACTTCATCCTTAAAAAATCGATTTCGAGTCAGAGAGAGTTTTCTCGGGACTCCCTGCGCGGCCCCGGTGCAGCGCTCACGGGCGGGAGTTGAACTTGAGCTCTGGGGTCACGGGCTGGTGCTGGCTGCTCCTGCCTCCCACCTCCGCTCTGAAACAGCGCGGAGACCTGTGGGACCCTGACCTGGGACGAACTCGCTGACCTGCAGCAGTTGCGTTCTAGAATGAAGCATGGGCCGGGCAACTTTGCTACCGGAGAAACACTTTACAGTTGAAATCAAAACCTGTTCTTGTGCAAGACAGCCCGGAAGACTCATGCAATTATTAACCCCGCAAAGCGAGCGTCAGCGGGATCTCAGCCCGGGCAGCGGGATGGGCGCTGCAGGGTCCGCTTGACTCGGGGACTGTCTCGGGTGACACTCCACGGAGAATCGGGACCGAACACACAGGTAGACACCAAGAGAGTGGTCCTATGACTGTGTTACTGGGTGAGGAGGAGGGGAGAGTCAGGGCTGAGCGGGACAGGCGCTGCGGGGCTTGGAGCTGCGCGCCCCGCGGGCCCGGCCGGCGGCAGCGGGGCAGGGCGGGCAGCGCGCAG